GTGACTGCAGCCGAGACGCCGGGACAGGACCAATAATATTGCTGATTCTTCTTCGGATTTTATCAAGAATCTCTAAATATAAAGCAGAAGCACCGGACCAAATGTGGCAGCAATATTCGAAGCATGGACGAATGGTAGACATATAAATTTGTAAGATAGATTCTGATTCTAATTTAAATTATTCCACCCCAAGCAAGGCAATAAAGCCACTAAGACACAGGGGGCTACTGAGTGTTAAAGAATAAGAAAAGAGAAATATTTTTTTAAGAAATACAAACAACAGAAGAAGAGGGATCAAGAAGACAATAGATAACGACTAACATTCCATTTAATTTTTTGAAGATCAAAGTTAGTTGGGAAGCAAGAAGCCAGAAGAGAGTTCCACAGTTGAGAAAAGAAACTGTTAGAAAAGAACAACTACATCTAGCCAATTCAACTGTAAAATGATGAAACCTAACTGCTACTAATCTTGTACTATACTTAAATTCATAAAATCTAGGTACTATGACAGAAAGTTCATCTGAACAATTACCATGAAAGAATTTATAGAAAAGGCACAGGAAAGTGACATTACAGTGGTGGGAAAAAGACGGAAGTTGGGATGCCATGTCAGGACCAATAATATTGCATATTCTTTGGATTTTATCAAGAATCTCTAAATATAAAGAAGGAGCACCAGACCAATATGTGGCAGCAATAGTGGAAGCCTGGACAAATAGTAGACTTATAGATATGTAAGTTAGATTCAGGAGAGAAAGATTGTGTAGTACAACACAGTGAACCCAATTTCTTAGCAGCTGACCTCAGCAATGGATTCAATATAGACTTTCCACTTTAGATCAGCCGAGAAGACGCCACGAGTCACTCTTCTAGAGGTTAGCATCAGCCATGGAAGTCAGAAAGTTGTCTCTCAGATGATTAATAGAGAGCAGTTTTTGTTTTGTTTTGGGGGCACTAAAATTAACACACCGTCCTTTGATCCAATTAAAAACAACAGTCGATCTTATTTTTTAGATCAGCCGCCAATTTCACTTTATCGACCTGATCAGACTTACTATCGAGACAGGAGTAAATATTTGTGTCATCCACATAGATACCAAGTTGAAACTTGATGTCACCAGGAAGATCATGGATGAAAATTTAAGAACAAACTAGGACCAATAATAGAGCCTTGGGCATTCCTGCATTAGTACGAAAGGATCTAAAAGAGTGGCCGTTCAGGACAACTTTCATTTCGTAATTGTATAAGAAAGACTGCTTCAGTTCAAAAATTCATCCTTAGACACCATAAATTTTCAACTTGTAAAGAATTCCGGTATTCCAAACCCTGTCGAACTCTTTCGAGATATCAAAAGCAACAGCCTGAACTTCACTAATCTTGTCTAAAGCCTGATAAACTCTTTCAACAATAATCGTTAATACATCGAGAGTCGACCTAGAGAAACAAAAGCTATATTTCTTGTCGGAAAATAGAAGATAATTTTAGGCATTGGATAGACTTTAGTTTAGTGTTAGAACTAAGCTTCGACGGATGAAGGGCAAGCAAATCGGTTCCAAGGAAACCGACAGCAGCACATAAGATTTGATTATAGCGGTGAAGGTTCCGTGCAGGACCATACACACATTTTGAAGGGCCGAAAACAGAAATCTGCCACAGGGTCCCCAAACACACCCCACGCAGGTTTTTATAATCCGTCCTTCTATTTACCCGCAGAAGAAAGATTCACACCTTTCCCCCAAGGGTATTAGCACGTAAGTGAATGTAATGGAATTCGAACTCGGCTCTTCGATTCCTCAATCCAAGCCGCTATCCATTACTCCACCGTGCCTTTTTTATTATTTTATCTATATATATTTACTTAAATATTTGTATCTATAAAAAGAATGTATAAACATAAAAATGTCTCAATATATATATATATATATACAGAAAGAGTAGTATAATAAAGAGTTGAGTGATACCTGATATATATATATATATATATATATATATATATATATATATATATATATATATATGCAGCATATCTTCATTCAAACATGTTTTATTGAATAATATAGACATATAATATATATTTTAAAATGATCCTAACGTCAATGTCTTGATGTTACTATGAAATTCATCCAGGAGGAGGATGTAGTTTTTTTCCTGCCCAAGTACTTTCGATCTCCTCAAAGATCATCCTCAGGGGTAAATTACAAATACTAAGTTATTGTAATTGTTATAAAATCTGTATTTCGTTGTGATGGGGATTAAAAAAAAAAAAAAAAAGAAACGTATGAACGTACTCTGACCAAGTTGACCAGAAATTGGTAGCATGGAAAATGGAATTAAATGTTTATTATATGCAGTTCAAAACGTTGTTGATACACTCGTAATAAATTTTGTTGAATGTTGGTTGGTTTGGATATAGAGAGCCGTCTAATTTGTTCATCAACGATGTAATTAGAAAGCCATTATTAACGATGATTTGTTTAATTTTTTTTAATTCAGTTAGAATATATATATATATATATATATATATATATATATATATATATATATAATAAAGTAATAGAATTTTGGGCAAATCATTATAGTAATTCATCGAGTCTAGAAGAATCTTCAACAGAATGCAGAATACACTGTACGGCCGTTTCGTCCTATTTTGGAATTCATCAGCAGCGCGCATCCACTACCGAGATTTGAACCCGGACTGTTTCGATACAATGCAAGCGTCATACCAACTGTACCAACTGGCCTTGGTGACGAAGAATAAACTAAACGATCCTTGCTTGGCCCAGCTAATGCTCTGCGATGGTGCGGTGTGGTTCGGTAGAAAGGAAAAATGTTGTTCTTGGGGTACAATCCGTTCGGTTATGAATACTTGGATAAGTATCACCACGGAATTTGTGAGTAGGATGAAACGGCCGTCCAGTGCGTTCTGCATTCTGTTGAGGATTCTTCTAGACTAGATGATTTACTATATATATATATATATATATATATATATATATATATATATATATAATAAAAATAGCATAGTAGGATCGCAAAACTAGTCGAACAGATAGTGACGTTGCATAGTTGGACTTCCATTAATTTTCTTTTGATTCTTGAACATTATATTCGTATGAAAAATAAAAATGTCAGAGAAAATTATTACTTTTTTTTGCATTTTAAGACTTCTTCATTAAACATTCTTTTTTCTACTTATAAACGCCGTGTCCTTTCAGGATGAAGCTCTCCACAGCTTCCTAGCCTTTGTAGCCGTTGTAAATATTTGACTTTTTTTTTTAGTATTCATCCCTTTTCCTGTTATTCCATCCATTTCGTTAGGTAAGCTGCTCGATGTTTCCCTCTGCAACTCTTGCTATAAGTAGGTCCTTTGAGTGTTAAAATATTCAAAGACGTTTTACTTCATTATGCATCCTAGAATGATCATCAGAATAAAAGGACTTATTTCATTGTAGCTCTTCCTTTATCGTTGTTATTGATAATTACATGACCATCATCATCAGCATCACCATCATCATTATTGCTAAGATGACCATCATTTTCATCATCATAAATACTCATGATAATATAACTATCATTAACATGATCATCATCATCATCATTTTTCAAAGATGATGATGATCATTTCATCCTCATCAGTTATAATATAACCATCATCATAATCATCTTCATCATTCATAGCTATTGAAAATAATATAATCATTCATTATTCATAATATCATCATCATCATTATCATCATTATCATTATCATCATTATCATCATTTGTATCATCATTATCATCATTATCATTATCATCATCATCTGTATCATCATCATTATCATCATCATCATTATCATCATCATCTGTATCATCATTATCATCATTATCATTATCATCATCATCATCATCATCTGTATCATCATTATCATCATTATCATCATCGTCATCATCATTATCATCATCATCATCTGTATCATCATTATCATCATTATCATTATCATCATCATCATCCTTATTATCATCATCATCATCTTCACAGTTATTAAAAAAAAATATGACCAGCATTATCATTTCATTATCATAATTATTCATATGTCCAGAATCATGATCGTAATCGTCATCACCATGATTATTCATATCATCATCATCACCATCATCATAATTTATAATAATATGATCACCACTATAAACCATCATCATCATCATCAATAATAATAATATGATTATAATGATGATGATCATAATAACCATCATAATCATTAATTCTATTATAATTAACTAAATTACTTCTGTTCGTATAATTGGAAACTAATGTAAAAAATGATTGCCTTTGATGATGATTTTTATTAATTTCTCTATATTTATACTAAATGTAAATTCCAATGGAAACAAAATATTAAGATATTGTTACGGCAATCTTCTTCGTGAAGTGTGCTTGCACGGCCTGAAAATCATAATTTAAATTGCCGTGTTTTTTGGGTTTTTTTTTCCTGGGTTCGAACACTAAACACTGTCTACTCAAATGCTATGACTATACGTATATTCCTTAAAGCAAAAACATCACGAAGAAAATAGACATCATATTTGCCTATGGCTTTGTTTTAAACTTTTTGAATTGTTGGTTGAGAGAAGTTTTGCTTATACAAACCAGAAACTATTGAAAACATCTGATTAATAAAGAATCGAAACTGTCCTTTACCTCAACAATAAAACCAGGTCTAAGGTTCAGAGCTTTGAAAGCTTGTGTTTGTAAAGCGGAGAATTGCCTTAATTAAGTACATGGGCATATGCCCAACCCATTCAGTGTCAAAACTGACAAAGATCTTCCTTCGATACAGTCGTTATAGTCACATGCTCGAGTTAAGTTACCATTTTCCGTCCTCTCCGTAAGGAGACAGTATGTAACAGCTTCAGGGGGACAACATCGAAACGCGAAACACCGAAAAGAAAAAGAGCGAAAGAACAATGAAATTTAAAAAAAAAAAAAAAGACAAAACATTTTCTTCTTTTGTTGGCGAGCTTAATCGTCCTCGAACGCTTGTATCACCAACATTTCCCTTCTTCTGTATGTGTCAATGTGTCTTCCCTTCCGCTTGTTTATAGCCTTAGGTGTTACAATGAGAGCATCGGAAGCCGGCTTGGATCGGCAAGGCCTCTCAGCTTTGCCTCGACAAGCGAACAAGCTCCTTCTTATCCCGACTAGCTTTCTCGTCTTTACCTTCTGCTCCTCTTCGCTTCCAACTTTTTTTCCTCCCTTTTGAAAACGTTCATGAAGAAAATTCAGAAACCAACGAATGAAGAAAGAAAAAAAAAAGAGATAGAGAAATACAGCCAAAACGAAAGTGATAGTGAAAATAAAAACAAAAAAAGACTCCGTTCTAGAAAAGAAAAAAAAAACTTACCTAAAATTAATAACTCCTCCTCACGATAGAAAGATGAAACCCAATTTCCTGGTGAAACACATCGAACTGTTTGGGACGGATATGAGACTTGGCGTGCCACCCATTTTGATATCCATTCACCGGCTCAAAGGGGAGGGGAGAGACGATGAGATACTCCATTTTGTTTCAAAATGCTGGACCTGCCCCATGTGACAACGTTGCTGACATTCTATGGCCGCCCAATTTCCGGCCGTTCTACGTTTGAAGTGAAAGAAGACGATGAAGAACGAGGGAAGATGCTGAGCAAGAATCAAAATCATCGAAGAGTAAAAAAAATAACTTGAAGGAGAAGAAAAAGAAAGAATTGATAAGAATGGAAGATTAAAGAAAAAAGACAGTTGACAATCTATGGCGAATTTGTGAAATGGAATGGTTGTTAAAAAATCGTTTCACGGTAACAAAATTTCAATTGTATGAGTTTTGTTTTGGGGACGTTTTTGTGAACTTTATTTTTCTGATTTTCTTGTTACTCTTTGCTTAACTTCTTTTTTCTTGACGGTCACGACAAAGCTAATGTTCCTTTTTTTTATTTTCCAAGTACAGTTTTATTAAAGTTTCAACACGGCTGCTTTCTATCAGTGTCTTTATTTTTGTTTTATAACTTCATATCTTTTATTTCCTTTCATTTCTTGTCCTCCAGAAAAAATATTTGTAACTGAAACGTAGTAAGCAAATAAACAAAGAAAGATGTTTACGCTATGGACAAGCACATCGTGTAAACACGTAAATAAATAAAATCAGAATGGATTTTTAAAAAAATAAACAAATGAAGAACCAAATTGACTAAAACAGTCATTATTCGTTAAAATAAAAACATTTGTTTCTCTCGAGAGTATTCGGCCATTTCTTTTTGTCTTTTCTTTTATACATGTAGTATTATTTAAAATCTTTAATCAAATCAATGAATTATAAACTAGTCAAGACAAAATATTTCCTTTGGGAAAAAAATCATAGAATTACAATTGAAACATACTGATATGGAATGAATCTAAAACACTTCTGTACCCGGAAGTACTCGTACATACGCATGCGTATAAATAATAGTGTAAAAAATATTCAAAAAGTGCATGTAAAAATATAGTAAAGATACTGTCAAATGAATAGACATATACATGCACACACATACATGCACACACATATATACACACACATACATGCACACACACACACACACACGCTTGAATATATACACAATTAAAATAGTATATTGAAGTGCACACGGGGAAACAAGCAAACACGTACGCGTCTCAACAAATGCGTTATCTTATGGGCGCGTGTGGCCGACTGGTTAACGTTTGCTTTTCGAATCTCACAATGGTCGATTAAATTTGATTACTTGATATTATCGGCTCGCTGAGGCGATTCCAGCATCTAAAAACCATAAAATCGTACGTGACTGAAAAGCAAACAACGGAATGACCCAAGCCTTGTGAATGAATTTGAGTAGACGCTCCTATTTAGAAACTGTCAATTGTTGTGCTAGCACGGAGTCACAAGTCATCGTGGCCGAGTGTTTTGATCTATTGATCACGACAGGCACACTCACCCAGAGACTGTAACTGATGTCCATTCCGCATAGTTACACCGGTCGGAACCTCAATAATGAGGAAAGAGGGTTTAGATAGAAATTTCAAATGTATTTTTTTGGTGTTAAAAATGAGAGTCCTTTTTTTCCATTCTTCTATAATCTACAGATTAAAAAGTTTCTTTTTTATAGACTGCATTATAACTGTCTATTTTTACAATATGTTCATTGATAAAATCGCTTATATTTGTTTTGTAAAAGATGTCTTAATAGCATGAATTTTTTAATTGTCAAAATTAACATGTTTTTGTTTATTGTTCCTAAAAGTGAAAAAAAAAAAAAATTTTCAGTATTGGATGCGCGTTAATTTTAAGAGATTTCGAATTGTGTACAAAAGGAAAACAGATTTGTGAAATTTTATCTTCACCATTGACACGTTTAATCATTTTTGAGTGTGAATAATTAAACGTGTCAAAATTGAAGATCTCAGATTAACCAGTTTGAACTGTTAGCGAACACATCTAGATTTTAGTTTAATAAACCTTAAAAACGTCTTAAAAAAAACCTAACGTGCTCAAAATAATCTAGAAAAAGCATTCAAATCTCTCTAAATAATATGCGTTATCATTATTTTCTATTAAAAAAACTCAACTAAACCACAAAAAAGGATCATATTCATTATCTTCTATAGGCATAAAAATATCTCAAATTAAATTGACAGATTGTAGCAATGCATCTTCTATTTTTATGTACCATGTCCCTCCAGCACATTAGCGATCATGGCTCTCAACAACTTCCTGTCTTTTGTAGCTCTTAATAAATTTTGTCTCTTGTTATCAATCCTACATCCTGTTTTGTCATCCATTTACACAAGTTCTCTAAGTAGGTTTATGCGCTGTTTTCTGCTGTATTGACTGTAAATGCTGAACATTTTCCTTACAGAGGAAGAGGAAACTTGAGGAAACAGAGATGTGGTTCTACAGAAGGATACTGAGAATATGACGAATCTGTCCTGGGGGTATCAAATTTTCTAAGCTCTCTTTCTTCGTTATTTCAATTGTCTCTTTCTGATTCTAACTATAAGCGTCCATTTTGTTTCCATTTTCTCTAAGCCGTCGTCGTGGCTCGCAAGTTCGGTTCGTAGTATTCCCCGCGACTGTGAGGAGATTGCAAGTATTTCATATCTGATGAAACTAAGTTGTGCGAATAGTGCAGGTTTTATCGACGCGGAAATTGTAATCAGCATGTCGAGATAGAATTCCGGCCGAATTCGTAACGTTCACTTTTCCTTGTGTAAGGTATGAATCCATATCTTTTTCCCCTCCCCTAGCTATGGGTTAAAATAGTCTGTGCTCTGTAACCCGAGGAAAGGGTAATTCTGACCTCAAAACCTGAGATCCCACTTGCTACAGAAAATCATTTTATCAGTTTATTATAGTTGCATTGGTATGTGCTTTCTCTGCATTTTTATATATATATATATATATATATATATATATATATATATATATATATATATATATTTCATTGAAAATGATTGACTTTTAATTTTGCTTTTGCTTTTTTCACCAAAGTACTTACCTTTTTGGTCTGCTGGGTCATGTAATTCAATCATTGTGTATTTAGGCATCAATTTCTCTTTTATACAAGAATATATATATATATATATATATATATATATATATATATATATATATATATATATATATATATATATATTTAAAGACATTTATATGTTTAACATTCTTTTTATTGATACAAGTATTTAAGTAAATGCTCTGTTTATAATAAACAGTATTAAATAACATTTAACGGCCTGAATGTCCGAGAAATTTTCATAGACATTCAGGCCGGTAAATGTTATTTAATACTGTTTATTATAAACAGAGCATTTAATACTCTTTATTATAAACAGAACATTTATTTAATACTGTTTGTTATAAACAGAGCATTTACAGAGCATTGATACTTGTATCAATAAAAAGAATGTTAAACATAAAAATGTCTTTAAATAACTGTCGGACTTTGACCATTTCATAATGTGTGACGTCATTGGTTTACATTTCATACGCTATGAGCAGTTATGAATGGAAATTAGAGATTCATGGAAGATTGAAGTTTATAAACAGTAAATTCGACCTTGCCAACCGAACCATCTTTTGTGGCCGAGGGGTTAGGCACGTCAAGCTATATGACGGTTCCGTATAGGATACAGGTTCGAATCCTGTCGAAGGACGTATATTTTCTATGAAAATTTCTCGGACATTCAGGCCGGTGAATGTTGTTTAATACTGTTTATTATAAACAGAGCATTTACTAAAATACTTGTATCAATAAAAAGAATGTTAAACATAAAAATGTCATAAAATAATTGTCAGACTTTGTCCATTTCATTATATATATATATATATATTCACGGACAAGCTTCTTAGTTTCGTTATTAAAAGGAAAGAGAAAATTACCGTGTTGATACATATTAATTTATTCCGAGTATTTTCGACATTAGCACGGTGTCATCATCAGGGTGTTGCTTTTTTCTATTGTAGTGCACATCATTTTTCTAAGACAAAATTGTTGTGCTCATCTAAAAGAATTCTTGAATATTCAAGCTGGTAGGTGTAAATGGCTAAAAAAACAGGGCCATCTACTCGAATATGAATATCCCTCAAAAATAACGTTTAAAGAAAATAAATATAAAAAAAATAATATCTCGGATTTAATCCATTTCCTAATATATATATATATATATATATATATATATATATATATATATATATAGATGTAGATATAGATATATATTGGGCAGAGTGTGACGCTCAATAAAGAGAGAATAGGCTGCACTAATGTGATACGCAAGATATCTTGGTGCAAGCAAAAAGAAACGTTCTCACCGTTCCAAAGGCCTGTTTTCTTCCAAAGATGTCGTTGGTTAGATATTGTAATCAGAGTTTTATCGGTGTTCTTTCCTTTAACTTAAAAATGAACTCTGCTTTGCTGTAAATCCTTTCGTAGCTGAGCGGTCTAAAAGCACGCCGGACTATACGGTGGTTTTTTTTTATATAAGGTGGAGGTAGGTTTGAATTCTTCCGAGGGTCACATTTTTTTTTTCGTTCAAGACTTCGGAACACCTAACCTTGTAGATATTAATTATCCTTTTTTTTCTGTTTTTTTTTTTTTAAGAAAACAGAGATATCTACTCAAACACGATTATCCACTAAATACAGTGCTTATTGTAATGAGATATCGCAAGTAATGAAAACAAATCAAATACTGACTTATACCCAAACCAAATTATGAAGCGTCTTTTCTGTGGTCCGAACAAAAAGAAAGAAATTTATTAAATGATTTTTTAAAGTAGCTTCACTAGAAACAAAGAAACAGGTACTAAATTGTTAGATGATATCTGTCTGTCTGTATGGCAGTGAGAGCTGGGCAATCTCCTCAAAGATGAAGAAGAGACTTAAAGCAACAGAAATATAGTTCTACAGAAGAATACTGAAGTTCGAACATGTGATCAACGGCGAAGTTTTAGAGAAAATGAAAACAAAAAGGAAACTTATGCTTAACATCAAGAAGAGACAGTTGTGGTTTCTAAGACGGTTTGGAAAATCTGACACTCACAGGATAGATTGAAGGAAAGAGAGACAGAGGGAAACAGTGTATAACATAGTGAGCTTAAGTAAATGAATGGCGGAACAGGGTTTAGGAGAAATAACAAACAAAATTTATTAAGAG